CTGGGGGGCCTTGGGAGACTCGTCTGTTTGTATTTAGACCTTGGTGATGTCATCCAGTGCTGGGGGTGGGGGGTAGTTCAACCACATCTGTGTGCCAGCGAGTCACAGGCGGCCCAGACTGAGCTCTGTGCCCCAGGCTCTGCTCCCATCTCCAGATTCAGACATCTGACCGCCTGATGGGAATCCCCACTTGAATGACTGCTGACAAACACAACTCACAGTCCCAAACTGGTTCTTAATGTGCCCTGCTAAAGCCTGCCCCCGCGGGGCCATCCCCATGCCGGTCGAGGGCGATTCCAGGCTTCCAACCTCGGGTCCCTCCAGGCTCCTGTCTCTGTCTCTCACCCCACGTCTACTCCATCAGTAGATCCCACCTGCCCACCTTCAACAGAAGCCAGGACAGGACCCCCTCTCGGCACCTCTGGGACTACCACCTGGTCTGAGCCACCTTCGTCTTAAGCCTGTGTTCCTGCGGCGGCCTCTGCCCTGACTCCCCACAGCCGCCCTCGCCCCTCCGGGGTCCAGTCTGAATGCAGCACCCGCAGAGAATGTTTTACTCAGATCATCTGCGTGTCTGTTCAAAACTCCAGTAGAGTGAAATCCTTACAATGCCTCTAAGTGCCAACTGGGGCAGGGCCGACCTCTCTGTCCCTGCTTTGCACCTCCCCTCTGCCTCCCCTGCCCTGGCCACGGCGGACGCCCGGCTACTCCTCACCGGTCTTCATGTGCCCTGGCCTCAAGGGCTCTTGCACGGGCGGCTCCCTCTGCCTGGAACCTTCACTCTGCCCCAGATAGCTGCATGTCAGACTCAACTGCAAGGTTTCCGGGAGACCCATGCTGACTGCTCTATTTAAAATTGCAATTCCTTTCTGGGGCGCCTGAGTGGCTCAGTGGGCTAAGCGTCCGACTTCAGCTCAGGTCATGATCTCACAGTTCGTGGGTTCGAGCCCAGCATCGGGCTCCGTGCTGACAGCTCAGAGCCTGGAGCCTGCTTCACATTCTGTGTCTCCCTTTCTCTCTCTCTGCCACTCCTCCACTAGTGCTCTGTCTTTCAAAGATAAATAAATGTTATAAAAATTTTCGGGGGGCACCTGGATGGCTCAGTTGGTTAAGCGTCTGACTTTGGCTCAGGTCATGATCTCACAGTTCGTGGGTTCGAGCCCCGCATCAGGCTCTGTGCTGACAGCTAGCTCAGAGCCTGGAGCCTGCTTCAGATTCTGTCTCCCTCTCTCTCTGACCCTCCCCTGCTCATGTTCTCTCTCTCTCTCTCTCTAATAAATAAAACATTAAAAAAATTTTTTTAATTGCAATTCGTTTCTGTAACATCTCACCATCTCATCAGGCCCGCTGAACCCATCCTTTCTTCAAAGCACTAACCACCTTCCAATGTAATGTAAATCCATTTATTACTATTATGTTCATTGTCTATTTCTCTTCATATAACATTACTTACAGGAGGCTAGGGATCTGTTTTATGCCCCATAGAACTCAAGTACCTACAACTTGTTATTAAAATGCAACAATAGGGGACGCCAGGGTGGCTAAGTCGCCTGAGCATCTAACTTTGGCTCAGGTCATGATCTCACAGTTTATGGGTTCAAGGCCCACATCAGGCTCTGCGCTGACAGCCTCTGAGCCTGGAGCTTGCTTCAGATTCTCTCTCTCTCTCTCTCTCTCTCTCTCTCTCTCTCTGTCCCTCCCCAGCTTGTGCACTCTCTCTCAAAAATAAATAACAAAGCTTAAATAAATAAATAAATAAATAATAAAATGCAATTAATATAAGGCAAAAAGGGAGAGAGATTTCCCCTCAAACCTCTTGATCCCGGCAAGCCAGCCGCTCCCCAGGTCATGGACCATTATATGATACTTCCAGTGGAGCCAACTAGTTGAAGTTCCTACAAGCCACTCAGCCTCTGCACAATCAAAAGTTACTTCCAATTTACCATAAAAGGGACACAGGTTGAACCTGAACTTGGGAATGCCAAAGATCCAGAAGAAGGTCTATTGTTATGGAAGAAGTAACTTTTGAATCTGTGCTGACTGCAGATCATCCGACGTTGGTGTTCTCCCACACTCCTTCCTGCTCACATGCTTTTGCTTCTGGCCTTAATCCGAGCTCTTCCTGAAGCCAATGAACATGTAAGTATGTGAACTCGGACTCTCCCTGATCTTCTGTTAAAATGAGCCTGGAAAGGGGCACCTGCGTGGCTCAATCAGTTAAATATCTGACTTTCAGCTCAGGTCATGAGCTCCTGAGTTTAGTCTGTGAGTTTGGGCCCCACGTCAGGCTCTGTGTTGACAGCTCAGAGCCTGGAGCCTGCTTTGGATTCTGTGTCTCCCTCTCTCTGCTCCTCCCCTGCTCGCGCCTCTGTCTCTGTCTTTCAAAAATGAAATAATGTTAAAAAAAATTTATTAAATAAAAAAAAAAAGCCCGGAAACAGTCCCAGTTGAGCACATGGGAGCACAGAAGGGTGGTAGCAGGTGGGAGACAGGAAAGGCTCCACCAGAGGAAAGCTAATGCCTGGCTTCCCAAAGCCCAGTGCTACAACCTCTGGATTTTAGATCACTTTCGTGTTCTTCTCGGAGACAGAAAATCACCACGGGATACCTTGAGCCATCTCGTTATTGTATTTGGCTGTAAACCCACTGGACTGATCTTTATTCACTTTCAACTGGTTAGAGAAGGAGCCTCGAGTGGCAGAAAGATAGCAATTAACATTCCGACTGAAGAGGCAGACTAAGGACCTGCTCTTTTCTACTGATTAGCATTTAAGAGGGTCAAGGTGACTGTGGAGGTTTTTCAAGCTGCCCTCTGCCAAGCCCTGGGTCTTCCAATAAGCTTGCTAAGATTTTGGTGGTGAATGTGGCCAGACCCATCCACCAGGGCATAGCTGCTCTGATCAGCTTGGTGAGTTGGGGTCCCACATAAGACTTCAACCCAGAGGCACCTGGGTGGCTCAGTCGGTTGAGCGTCTGACTTCGGCTCAGGTCATGATCTCACAGTTCGTAGGTTCGAGCCCCACATCGGGCTCTGTGCTGACTGCCAGCTCAGAGCCTGCAGACTGTTTCGGATTCTGTATCTCCCTCCCTCTCTGACCCTCCCCTGCTCATGCTGTCTCTCTCTCTCTCTCTCAGAAATAAATAAAACATTAAAAAAAAAAAAAAAGACTTCATCCCAAGGAATCCTGAATAGCGAGCTCTAGAAAAACCAGAGTTTGCCTATGACGCAAAGGGAAAGAGCCAAGAAGGAAATGAGATGCTAAAGAAAAACTGGGGGGCAACCAGTCTATACGATCTTCTGACAGAAATTCCTAAGACCAGGACAGAGATAATAAGGAAAGCACTCCTCATCCAGCGGAAGACCTGAGCTTATAAAGTGACTGAGGCGCATGGCTGGCTCAGTCGGTTAAGCATCCGACTCTTGATTTCAGCTCAGGTCATGATCTCATGGTTTGTGAGTTCAAGTCCCTCATGGGGCGCTGCGCTGACAGCACAGAACCTGCTTGGAATTCTTTCACCCTCTCTCTCTGCCCCTCTCCCAATTGCTCTACATCTTTCTCTCTAAAAAAAAAAAGTGATTGAACACATAGTGTTCTAGACAGGTTTAGTAGATATGGGAGTATATAACATTGAAGTTTTCATTCTTTTAAAAAAATAACCAAAAAAACCCCTTCATTGTGCAAGGAGAAGAGTATCAAGTTACCCAGAGAGGAATAAATCGGCGGTGGCCTTTTCTCCCACAATATCAAAGCCAGAGAGTAATGGAGCAACATTTACAAGGGCCTCGAAGAGAAGAATGTGCCTCCTGCCAGCCTGGTCCGGTCGAGTCACGGCTCCGTTACAGGGTAACGGGCTGGCATTATGAACTAGGCAAGGGCTTGGATAACACATCACCAGGGGGTGCTCCCTCAGCAAGGGTTAGTCCTCAAACCCGAGTTCTGGCCCAGCGAAGACAGATCAGAGTGCTGAAGAATTCGAGACTGAGGAAGCTACAGCTGGGAAGGGGGACAGTAGTATTATTAATGCTAAGAGCCGCGACCATTTACCGATTGCTCACGTGGCCCAAGCAAGGTACCAAAATCTGTGTACGTATGTGTGCGTGCGCACGCTATAGCATCTCATTTAAGTATCAAAATAAACATAACTCATTTTGTAAGTAATATCCCAATTATCTCAGTAGTAGCAAATGCCCATTTCACAGATGGGAAAACCAAGGCTCAGAGAGCTCGGGTCCATTTGTCCAGATATAGTAACTAGTGAATTCCAAGATGTGACCCAAGAACTGCCTCGGGGTCCCTCAATTTATATCTTTATTCTTTTTTATGCTTATCCGTGTTTTCTAATTACTCTAAATGAGACTCGGTATTCTTTTTGAAACAGAATGCCAGCATTTTTTTTTCCCAATTAAAATAAATCCAAAGACACAACATGCATTACTGCAGAATGCTAAAAACAGAATAGGACTGGCAAGGACATTCAGACAGGTGTCCCACAGCAAGAAGGCAGGTGGGGCAACTCCCAGTGCTAAACCACGCAGAAGTCAGTATCTTAAAAGAACGTTAAGCAGGGGCGCCTGGGCGGCTCAGTCGGTTAAGCGTCCAGCTCTTGATTTCAGCTCAGCTCATGATCTTACGGTTCGAGAGTTCGAGCCCCTGCATCAGGCTGTACACTGACAGCACAGAGCCTGCTTAGGATTCTCTCTCTCCTTCTCTTTCTGCCCTTCCCCCAGTCTCTCACTCTCTGTCAACATAAATAAATAAACTTTAAAAAAAAAAAAAAAGAGCATTGAGCAGAACCAGAGGCATCCGTGCTCATAAAAGGTGCTCCCACAGCAATAAGGCAAGTTACAAATAAAGCCAAGGAGGATTTGCATTCTGTCCCCCGCCCGCCTCAGCAAAGGACCCACGTCATGTCTGTCCCCTTTCTAGCCACGCGGCTGAGCTGACAGCGTGACTTTACCTGTGGGCAGGTGGCTGGACGGCTCGGGGGCAAGGCCTCACCTGGAATGTTGTGTATGGTGATGGCCAAGATGAGCAGCGCGATCCGTCTCCAGCTGCCGCCGCTGGGCTGCACTGGGTCCCCTCGAGGAGGCGGCGGGGCGGTGGGGCCCTCGGGAAGGCCTGTGGCCACCGCCTTCTTCCTCTGATAGGCCTCCCCGTTCTCACTCTTGTCTGTGCAAACAGAGAGGGACAGGGAAGGAGAGTACTTTGAGAACATGCACGCGGGTCCTCGGCGAGCAGCGCAGGAAGAAGCGTTCTGCTTCTAGCTTCCTTGGGGGCCGTGAATTCTCCCGTTTCCTTCCTGTTCCTCCCTCCCTTCCTTCCCTTATTCGTTCAGCAAGCATTCACCAAATGGACATTCAGTGCCCAAGGTACAGGTACTGGAAAGGATGAAAAAGATGAAGCTGGGGCGCCTGGGTGGCTCAGTTGGGAAGCGTTAACTGACTCCTAATTCCGGGCCAAATCGTGATCTCACTGTTCGTGAGTTGGAGCCCCGCGTCGGGCTCTGCGCTGACAGAGCCAAGCCAGCTTGGGATTCTCTGCCTTCCCCTCACTCCTGTTCTGTCTCTCAAACTAAATAAGTAAACATTTTAAAAACGATGGAACTGGGGTCACCCTAGCAACGCCCATTGAGGAGAAATGATACTGAGCAGCAGGAGCAGAGATCCCGGAGCCAGGCTCCCCGACTCACTCCTGACTCGTCCACGTAGCCGCTGTGTGGCGCTAACCAAGCTGTTTTCCCTTTCTGTGCCCTCATTTCCTGAGTCGCAAAATGAGGACCCCACCCATCGGGGTGTGTGAGGCTTCATGGCTGTCCCATGTTCCCTGCCTCCTTACAGCATCACAGGGTACGTGACACCTCCTCATCACACCGCCTCATGGGGACCCATCTGCGTGCCAGGCCCAGCCAAAAACACCCCCTCCCCAGGGACAAGGGACCGGGGTGGAGATGGCCCCAGTGACTCAAGGGTAGACTCTCAATCCGAAAGGTCGTGCAAGGGGAGCCTGACACCCTACAAGGGAAGAGAACCAGGAAGCAGCTCAGCAGGTGATAGAAGGAAGCAAGCTGCACACAGGTACACGCAGCTGCCAGCCAAACGGACAGACAGACGGACAAATGGCAGCCTGAGCGTCGCGGGACACTCTGACTATGGAACCCCGCCACCAGACTTCATGAGCTAACCTCCCTTTCCAACATTCCCCTTGGGGGATATATTTGAAGGGTGTCATTTCCCAGGCCCAGGTTAGGCCAACTACCCGTGTCCTGCAGGGTCATTTCCTCAATCTTAATGGAGGTGAGTCGCCCGGGTCTGAGGCAGAGCGTCTGGTTTGCGATGCGCCCCATGGCACGCGTTTGTGGGAGCGGCTTCCCGGAGGAGCAGAGTCCCAGCAAATCTCAGACACGTGGCGGCACAAACGGAAAGGAGGGTCTCCCTATCACGAGGGGACAGAAGAAGCTGCAAGTCACAACTCAGAGGTCACGGACGGGACATGAGGGGGCAATCATATGTCCCAGTCTGGGCCCGCCACCCCGGGGACTGGGGGATTATCGGTGTCCCCTTTCACTCTCAAAGTGTCCTGGTTTGGACAATGAGCAATGTGAGTCCCCGGGCTGCGGGAAACAGCAGACGTTTGACGGACCCTCTGCTGTGGCAGGGAAGGTCCCTTGCAGCAGCTAATGGTCATCAGCTTGAAGGGTGGGAGGGACTCTCTGTGGGGGACCTCCTTCCCTTCTCTATACATTTTCCACACGCAGAAGAATTCTCCTCTCTAAGCTGAAAGTTGCATAAAAATTTTCCCAGAGTCAAATTAAGAAACAACAGGCAAGTATAAGGACTCCATTAGCCCTGACCATGGGGCTCTCCTTATTTTTTGGAGGAGGGGAGAGCAGGCTCCAAGCTCTGGACTGTCAGCATAGAGCCCAAAGTGGGGCTCAAACCCACGAACTGTGAAATCATGACCTGAGCCAAAGTTGGACCCTTAGCTTAGCCGACTGAGCCACCCAGGCACCCCCCTCCTTACTTCTTGGTATAAAGCAAAGGTCGGAGGGGGTTGATCTTAGTGACCAGAATCTCGCTACATAAATTTGATCAGGTCTTTGATTCCCTTTCTGGATGAGCCCACCTAAGTGAACATTGCTTTGTATTTCCAAATACAAAGCGGGAGGGATGGGGGCGAGGAGGGACATCTTTTGAAAATCCTTGTGTTTGTTCACTCAAATCAAGCAGGTAAGCCTAAAGACTAAGCAGATGCCAAAGGGCAGATTCAGGTTTCCCCAGGTCCCCACCTGTTCTCTCTTACAACAGAGGAATCTCAATGCTCTTAGGAAGAAGGAGCCTTCTATCGATCCTCCGAAAACAGGGACACCAGCCCCCCAAACAGTCAGCAGCCACAGCTCACATAAGCGGCCCCTGGGGACCCCAACAGTCTCTGCTGGAAAAGCAACTCCTCTCAGACACTGATTGCACGAGACAAAGCTAAATACACACTCACGGTGCCGTCTCCATATAGTGGTGGAGGGCACTCGCCTTCCTCCCGGACCAGACGGGAAAACACCACCGATCCCTTGGGTTTCCTCTGGGCGCAGGGACCTGACCTAGCTCTTCAGTGGGAGTGGAAGGCAGCGGGGGGTGGGGAACTTTCCCCTCTGGGATTTTACGGTTTAAGACAGAAGAGACAGGGAAGGTATGAGGAATTCCTTTACATCGGAGGGCAGAACTGTACACTCTCTAACGAGCTCTGAAGCTGGCGCTTATTTTTGTCGGGGCGATGAAAGCACCGGACTCTGAATCGGCTGCAAATCTGCACAGAGAGCAACAGGGATGGGGCACGTTAGCGAATTCCAGCAGCGCGCTAGCTAGCGCTCCACAGGAAGGGCCGAGGAGTGGAAAGTGTTGTTAACCGGGATAGAGCTGCAGACTCCGCCGTGGGGTCCCTGCGTGTGAAAGCTGTTGTGCCCAAATGGGACAGGAGATGGTGTGAACAGCTGACAGGCTTGTTAAATAAGCCACCATTTGGTGACAGCCTCTAATGAGTCTGCAACGGGGAGAATTAGTCAGAATTAATCACTACAGAGAGTACGGATGCCTCCTGGGCAATGAATCGTCTTGCCTCTCCCAGCAAGGCCAGTTACACCACTGCGCTCCAAGAAGATCACCAGCCCCGTGCGCAGAGGAGGACCCCTTCGTGGGGGCCGCTGCCCAGCCCGGGGTGGGGAGAAGAGATGAGCCAGAGCAACAAGAACCTGTGGAGAGGGGGAAAGGCCTGGGCATTTCTGAAGCAGGATTTGGTGAAGGGGAAGGACATGTAGAGGCAGAATAGGCGATGTCTATGCAGACCTGCAAAATGGCATTAGTGACGTCGGCTAACAGGTGGTCCTGGGAACTTATCTTCAGTACTCACAGAAGCCCCACAAAGCAGAGAAGCTTCCCTCTAACAGATAAAAAGCTTGAGGGGCGCCTGGGGGGCTCAGTCGGTTGAATGTCTGACTTCGGCTCAGGTCATGATCTCACAGTTCGTGGGTTCGAGCCCTGTGTTGGGCTCTGTGCTGACAGCTCAGAGCCTGGAGCCTGCTTCGGATTCTGCATCTCCCTCTCTCTCTGTCTCTCCCCCACCTGCATTCTCTCTCTCTCTCTCTCTCTCTCTCTCTCAAAAACATAATAAACATTAAAAATATTAAAGAAAACAAAAAGCTTGAAGAGCAGAGAGGTGGAGCTAGCCGATCTCAGGTCACACAACCTGTCCCATGGAGTCAGGAGTCAAGCCAGGTCTTTGCCTCTGGAGGCCACCTCTTAACCAGGACCCTGTTGTTGACTGGGCAGTGGGGGAGGAGGGAGAGGGACAGGGGAGTGTTGATGTGTTCCTTTGCTCCCTGCTTTCACTGCCCTGACGTGACGTTTAGGGACTTGAAATCCCAGATGGTTCTGTTGGAAACGTTTAGGGTGCCCAGGGGGTTGGTGGGTTTGCACCCAGCGACCCCAGAGGTGGAAAGGGCTCAGTGGACATCTCGTACCTATAGTCATTCCCACTCATCGACAAACCTGAAAACAATGCTTCTTAAACCCTTAGACCTGCTATGTCCAAGGAAAAAGCAGCTACAAGTAGAAAATAGTTATTAACATGAAGTCCAGAACACAGGGTCATGATTCTTTCAGAAGGTGAAAGAAAAGACTTCAAAGAGGCCCATAGTCAAAAAAGCATTTTTTTTTTAAATTTAGACTTCAACATCTAAGAACCCACATGAAGAAGGGACCCACTGCTGGGGCTCAGCCTGTACCCCCCCCCCCCCCCACCGCCCCGCCGCCCATTCCTCCTTTCCCAGAGAGGCTGGCATTGCTGAATTTGAGAAGGACCACGCAGGGAACAGACTGCCCTGGCCAAGAATCATTTCTCCCATTTCTCATTTTATGGCCAGGGGTCATAGTGAACCCTGATGTCTGGGTAGGTGCTGTCCCCCTCAGGGCTTGGCAGTGGAGTGAAAGGTGCTAAAGGCTCTAGATCAGTGGCTCCAAACCATTTTGAATCAGCAACTGCTTTTGAAAAAAAAATTAATGTTTATTTATTTTTGAGAGAGAGAGAGAGCACAAGCCAGGGAGGGACAGAGAGAGAGAGGAAGACACAGAATCCAAAGCACGCTTTGGCTCTGAGCTGTCAGCGCAGAACCCAACACAGGCCTTGAACCCAGGAACCGTTAGATCATGCCCTGAGCTAAAGTCGGATGCTTAACTGACTGAGCCACCCAGGCGTCCCAGCATCTGCTTTTCAAAGTATAGCAGAAGCTATAATCCTCTCTTGAGCAAAATAGATAGATAGATAGATAGATAGATTGATAGATAGATAGAGACAGAGAGAGATAGGTAGAATTTTGAAACAATTTTTGAATCCCCATGGATTCAGGGACCTCAGACCAAGAACATCTTGCAAAATGAAAAACCACATTAACCTTTGTTTTCATAACCGGGCCTCTGAGGGACACACAATGTTTGCTGCCCCCCCAATGATGTAACTGGCCAAATCTAACAGGGCCCAATGACGAAACCTCAGGTCCCAGTGAATGCGTCAACACTAATTAACAGATCACCAGCCATGAGAGGTTTAAAAATATCCCCAAGACATCACTGGAAATGATCTGGTTGAATTAGCACAAATAGGCAAATCTTCATCTGCTAAGC